TCTTTTACAGAGACTTGGATTCTCATGTCCACTCTCTAGATAACCCATTCCAGAATTAATGCACCAAAGTAACAATAGTCAGAGGAGATCTTGCAAGCATAGGCTGAAGCAAATAGAATCAAATCATCTGTTTTCATATTTCTTTTATTATGAACATTTCAAATATATGCAAAAATAAAGAGTATACTATAATCGTGTATACACCCATCACACAGTTTCAACACCTGTCCAGCCTTGCTTTATCTAAACCTCTACCACCGACCACTAGTCACCAGACTATTTAACCAAATCCAAGATATCACGTCACTTAAGCCACAAGCATTTCCGTACGTATCTCTGAAAAATAAGAATTTTTTCTAAAGCATAACCACAATACCTTTATCACAACTGAACAAAAATGAACAATTACTTAATATCATAAAATATACAGCCAGTGTTCAAATTTTCCTGACTATCTTTTTTCTAAGCTTGTTTGATCCATACATAAATAAGGATTAGAACTCTCGAGGAAAGGAAATAACATTCAATTGGTTAATGTGTCTCTTAGGTTGTCGCTAGAGTTGTTGTTGTTGTTGTTGTTTTAATGATTTAGAGAGTTTAATGGAGAGGCAATGTTCAGGCTAGCTTTAAAAGAGAACCCTAAGGAATTATTTAGGTTTTTTTTAATCTATAGATTTGTCTATAGGCTCCACTTCCAGATCTCTTATTTTCCCCCTTAGAGTTCTTTTAGTACAACTTTATTGAGATAGAATTCACATACTGTGCCACTGATCCTTTTAAATGTATCGTTAAATGGGTTTTGGCATGCTTACAAAGTTGTGCAACCATCACAGCAATCAATTTTAGAACATTTTCATTACCTAAGAAAGAAACTCCTTACTCTTTAGCTACCAGTCCCCCAACATCCCCATCTAACCTGTCTCCTAGTCCTAAGTAATCACTAATCTATTTCTCTTTCTATACATTTGCCAGTTTTGTACATTTCATATACATGGAATCATATAAGATGCAGTCTTTTATGACTGGCTTCTTTCACTTAGCGTAATGTTTTGAAGATACATACGTGTTATAGCCTGTATCAGTACTTCATCTCTTTTTAAGGTTGAATAATATTTCATTGTATGGATATATTACAGTTTATTTAGGCATTCATCAGTTGATGTACATTTGGGATTTTTCCACCTTTTGGCCGTTGTGAATGATGCTGCAATAAACTGTCATGTAGAAGTTTTTGTGTAGATGTTTGTTTTTACTTCTCTTGGGTTTATAACTGGAAGTGGAATTACTGGATCTTACGGTATCTCTATGCTTAACTTTTTAAGACACTGTCAGACTGTTTTCCAAAGTGGCTGCAGCGTTTTTACAGTCCATCAGCAGTGTATGAATGTTATGCTCCTCATTTCTTCCACATCCTCATCAACACTTGGTATTATCTAACTTTTTATAGCCATCCTAATAAGTGTGATGTGGCATCTCATTGTGGTTTTGATTTGCATTTCCCTTATAATTAGTGATGCTGAGCATCTTTTTATGTGCTTGTTGATCATTTGTACATCTGTGGAGAAGTCTTTTCAGATCCTTTGCTCATTTTTAAATTGGGTTATCTTTTTACCTTTGAGTTGTAAGATTTTTAAAAATATGTTCTAGGTAACTTCCTTATCACGTATATTATTTGTAAATATTTTCCCTTATTCTGTAAGTTGTCTTTTTACATTTCTGATAGTGTCCTTTGAAGCACAAACGTTTTGCATTTTCATGAAGTCCTATTTTTTTATTTTTCTTTTGTTGCCCTTGCTTTTGGTGTCATATCTAAGAATTCATTGCCTAACTCAAGACCAGACTTACTACTGCTGTCTTCTAACAATTTTATAGTATAATCCATTTTTAGTTAATTTTGTATATGCTGTGAGGTGAGGGTCCAACTTCATTCTTCTCCATGTGGCTATCCTGTTATTCCAGCACACTTTGTTGAAAAAAGTCTATTCTTTCCCCATTAAATGGCCTTGGCAGCTTTATTGAAAATCAATTGACCATAGACACATGTGTTCATTTATGGATTCTCGATTCTATTCTACTGATCTACACGTTAGCGTTATGCCAGTACCACCCTATTTTGGTAACTGTAGCTTTGTAGTAAGTTTTGAAATTGAAAAGCCTGAGTCCTAAAACTTTGTTCTCTTGCAGGATTGTGTTGGCTATTCTGGGTTCCTTGAGTTTCCATAAGAATATTAGGATCAGCTTGGAAATTTCTACAAAGAAGCCAGCTGGGGTTCTGATAGGAATTGCGTTGAATCTGTAGATCAATTTGAAGAGTATTTCCACCTTATAAATATTGTCTTTCAATCCATAAACATGTGATATCTTTCCATTTATTTAGATCTTTTTTAATTTCTTTCAACAAAGTTTTGTGTTTTTAAGAGTGTTACTTTTGCACTTGTTTTTATTTTGCACTTCTTTTTTAAAATTTACTTCTAAATATTTCATTGTCTTTGATGTCATTGTAAATGCATTCTTTTGAACTTTTATTTTTGGATTCTCTCTTAAAATGTATTTGTTGAAGAAACCGTGTTGTTTTTCTGCAGAGTTTCTCCCCCTCAACACACAGACACACACACACACCTGCACTCTAAACCTAAGTCTGGATGTTGTTACTTACATCACTACAATGTTAACATATTTTTCCTTGTATTTTTCTAAAAATTCACAGTTATATCCAGGAGCTTGACAGGGTTCAAATTGCATTTTTTGACAAAAAATGCTTTCTATGTGCTGCTATGTTTTTCCATCAACAGGCTTATGATATATGGTTAATACTCTTTTTGTAATGTTAGAAGACATTAATTATTATTACCTAGATCCACTAGTTCATTAAAGGTTGTAATTTTATCATTCCTTCGTAATTTATTAGCTGGGAATCTTTTTAAAACACTTTCCTCGCCAACTCCTTCATTACACCAAGGAAGAGTTTGTATTAAAAAAAAAGCAGGTTAAATGTTCGAGTCATTCTCTTTATTTACCAGTTTTAAAATAATGAGCTGGCTTTCTAGGTTTGGCCAAATTGAGCAATTATGTTTTTAAGTGTTTTTATGAATTTGTATATTTAAACATATTTGGTTTATATTTCTTTTTTTTTTTTTTTTTTTTTGAGGCGGAGTCTCGCTCTGTCCCCCAGGCTGGAGTGGCAGTGGCCAGATCTCAGCTCACTGCAAGTCTGTCTCCGGGTTCACACCATTCTCCTGCCCTCAGCCTCCCGAGTAGCTGGGGCTTATAGGCCCCGCCCGCACACCTCGCCCGGCTAGTTTTTTTGTATTTTTTAGTAGAGACGGGGTTTCACTGTGTTAGCCAGAGATAGTCCTGATTTCCTGATCCCAGTGATCCGCCCGTCTCGCCTCCCAAAGTGCTGGGATTACAGCATATTTGTTATATTTCAATCCATTGTAGTTATTATCTTTACTGATGCTCAAATTGCCCCATGTTTGACTGATGACAGTCTCTTCAAGTCCTTTTGACCTCAACTCTAATAGTGTTTTTAGCTTCCTTGCTATCTGGTGTGACAAGAGATTTTATGTTCATCTTGGACATTTCTTGCCACATATCTGAAGTCAGCCATTTATTTAAGTATCCTGGGTCCTTTATTAGGAAATAGCATTTAGAACCATCCTATGGGACATACAGGTGAATTTGGGCACTGAGATTTCATTGTTTCTAAGTATTTTTAGTGGACAGAGCTTAAAAATGTTTTTTAAATGACAAAACTGAGTTCATTCTGATGCCTTCCATAATTGGATAATCTTAAGAGGTCTTTCCTTCAGGCTATGAAAAATCTGGCAAAGTACTCCTATTCCATAAGAGTATCCCTGTGTCAAATGATTTTAAAAAAAAAAATATTGTATCACCAGAAACTGTGACTTGCTCTTGGACAATGATAGGTAAATAGTTGACAAATTCTTACTGTCTAATTTCCTTTTTTTACATAACCTATTGCTGCCATAATTTCTGAATAAAACATTAGATGATCTCATGAGTATTGTTGTAAAATGAGGACATAGGACAAAGTATTTGAAATCAGGACTATCTGGGAAAATATAACCTGGATAGTTGCCACATAAAATATTCTAGGCCAAAGATGACAAATACTTTGGCCTATGAACATGTTCAATATTAATGATTAGGACAGCAGTTGCTAAATTGGGTCCTGAGCTGTTCTAGTCCTGCGCTAATAGATGTTCCATAAACAAAAAAATTCATGTTCACAAAAGTTTTGAAATGTAGGATTGAAAAACAACACAACAGATTTCTTTACTTCAGGACTCCAAGAGACATTAGTGTTTAATTGCAACGGTGACTCTTCTGGAAGGGAAATAGTATGCAGTGTTTATACACTTATTTGAATGCTTTCACGGAACCCTTTGTACATAACAACTTGTGAATGCTGGACGAAGCTGTACTTTTAAATTAATCACATTACAATTATGTACTCCTGAAGCTCAGGTCAATCATTTCAAACTGATCAGGATGAGACTTTGGGAGATCTTTGTTCATTGAATGTTGAAAAGCGTGTGTGGTGTGGTGTGTGTGGTGTGTGTTGAGAGAGAGAGAGAGAGAGAGAGAGACTCTGAAGGTAACTCTATCTCTGGTATCCAAACGCAATCTTGGTTTGGCCTTCTATCTACTGACTACACTATAATTCTATTTTGTGTGTGTGTGTATAACTGTGTTATAAAAATAGAATTTTTTATTATGTGTGGAGGACGCTATTTGACAGGTCTCAATGATTGACCATTGGGAATATCTGAGAGCCACAAAACCATCCACAGCTGTTACTTTGAATCTTTGTGCTGTCCATTTTGTGCTGATCCCTCACAACTAGTGTTAGTCATGTTGCTTCCATTCTAGGCAGACAATAGTAGTTGCTTTTTAAGTGGCCTCTAGAGACTCTTTTAATATAGGATTTCTGTGTAGTAATCTTTGGTCTAACAAAGGATTTTTCTCACCCTTAGGTGTTCCAACATTCACTAAACGTGTGGTGCTTTCAGCGGTTGTGAGATCCTGACTACAGAATGAGGTAGCTTGGAAACTAAAAGATCCTTAAAACTTGCCAGTAGGTTTGGGGGTTTCTCAGAGATGATTAAACTGTTGGAAAATGGCATCTATGAGAAAATGAAAAAGTAGTCTAGATTGTTACACCTAAAGACGAGTTACTCTAATATGAAGGATTGTTATTTAAAGCATTTCACAAAACTATTTATTGAGGTGCAAAAAGAAAACATTGGAACATCAATATATTTATTTTTCTCATTCTTTTAAATTTTCTGTGCTGGAGTATTTTAATGTTTATTCATTAAAATGTATGTTTAAAGTAATGTGTAATGTATACATGTACGGTAGTACATGTATATAATCTATAAATCCATATACATATATTGGGGCCCATGCTCAATAGTTTTTTAATAGACTAAAATGTATGCGGAAAAATTGATTTAGAGGATTGTGTGAATCTCTTCTTCATCAGAAGAGTGTTTTAGAGTGTATGTTAGGAAACGGGATTGGTTTAAATAGGAGCACGCGAGATTCAGCTACATCCATTTATTTTATTTAAATATAACCATTATTAGAGATACAGCATTCATTCATATTCAGCAAATATTTTCTGAGCATGTCCTATGCAGCAAGCATTGCCCTAGGCTCTGTGCATACGGTGGTGAACATAAACGTTGTCCTTGACCTCATAGTCCTTCCCCACTATAGTTTAGTAGGGATGACAGCCATCAACCAAATAATCATACACTTAAATGTACCACCAAAAATAGGTAAGTATTATGAAGGAAAAACACAGCAAGTTACAGGAGGCTACAAGAGTATAAACTGGGGCATCATCTCTATTCTGGGATTATCGAGAAAGGTTATCCTGAGAAGTGACATTTAAGCTGGGGCCTGCGGAGATTGATCGCACGATTGCCTTGTCAAGAGATAGAGGAAAAGTGGCCTAGATGGAAGTAGCGGGTATGTGTGAGGGCCTGCAGGGGTCATGAGATGAGTGAGGGCCTGTGCCACAAGGGCACAGGGTTTCAGACAATAGGGAAGCTTCAGAGATGGATCTGCCTGACAGAGAGGTGGAGTGCAGGCTAAATGACCTCAGAAGCTTTGTCCTCCTTCAATTCCAGGGGGAAAAAAATCACAAACTAGTTGGAGGTACCAGAGGGCTACAGAAAACAACAAGAAGAGACTAGCTGGTCGGCTAGGCACAATTAAAACATCGAATTCTGCCCCAGCAGCAATTCCGGGAACTTCAAGTAATGCTCCCTGTGTGGCCCTCTAGAACCCTACCTGGTAAGAGTAAAGGGCAGTGTGTCCTCTATGTCTGCGCTACAGATGTAGACATTTTTTTTAATGGCCTGAGAATTTCATGAGCAGTAGCCAGCTAGAGGGCCTAGCAATGTGTTGTGATCATGTGTTTTCCTGAGTTATTTGAAACAAGAGGGTGTATGTACTACCCTCTTGGCAAAATTAAAGGATTTTGAGCTAGGATAAATGAGGTAGATCAGAGGGTAATTGCAGGAAGTGGGGCAGTGGCTACCCCTGCTTGAGGGCTTAGGCCCCAGGCTGCAGAGGAGCTAAGTGGGAGAGCAATATTTGACGGTCTGTTGCCACTGCGCCTAGTAATCGGCTAGGGGAGGAGAAGGAGGACAAGGGAGACCAGGGTTGGACGATGAGCATGAAAGAAGAGTGGGCGAGCCAGGGAGCGCTTGCCACACGGAGGGCGGGAGGCAGCTACACTGGGTCCCCAGCGCCAAGAAAGGGGCACGAGGAGGCGGCGCGGGCCCCGCCCCCTCCCCCTGGCGGGCGCGGGCGCGGGCGCGAGACGCTGCGCGGCGGCAGCAGCGGGCGCGAGCTGCAGCTGTCAGGCCACCGAGGTCCAAGCCGCACTTGCTGCCCCATTGAGAACGAGGAGGCAGCAGGAGCAGTGACGGTGACACTAAGAAGCCGGACTCCCGGCACGCAGAGCTGACCTACCTGGCACCCGCGGCCCTCTACTGTTTCCTTCCCATTGTGTTGGGTAAGGTGCCTGTGCGTGGGCAGGAACAGGGGCTAGGGGCTGGAGGACCCGGAAGGCCGGGAGGTGGGGGGCCTGTGAGAAGAGGGAGAAAGGAAAGTGTAGTTGATCCCGATGACCACTCATAGCTTGGGAAAAGGGACTGAGCCGCTCCCGAGGTCGGAGTTGGGGGCAGGTGACAGTGCAGGGGGGCGTTGCTGAGTAATCCCGAGCTGCTGCCAGAGCCGGGCAGAGAGGCGCAGGGCTCCGTGGGGAGCGGGTGTGGCTCAGTGCGCATGCGCCACAGTCGACTCTCTCTAAGAGCTGGGGGTGAGGTGAGAGGACCTGGGTCGGAGGTAGTTGGGACTATGTGTGACATCTCACTTTCTAGGTCCGTCATGCTAACAGTGCCCCTGTCGTAGAGATGCCAGCATTCTCGTCTCCTAAGGAAGCTTCTTTTCCTTGTGTTCAGCTCGCTTGATGTCATCCAAACCTTATCTACCTATTTGTCCCTGGGCAGTCTACTGGGGAAGACGTGGCCTGGGGACGATGCTAAATTGCTATCTAGTGTGCTTTTGGGCTTATAGCCCTAGAGCTGTCGTTGTGAGGAGTGAAAGGTTAGACGTGAAATTCCACATTGGACCCTTTGAGTTGCATATAGAATATAAATGTGGGCATGAATGTAGGAATAGCGTTTCAGTGGCATGACAGCTGTGGCATTTGGAGTCGGCATGGATGTAGCTGATAACTTGTCAGCTCTGCAAAATGAATCCAGTGCGTCAGAGGGCTTCCCCGCTACGAAGCACCCACCACCACCACCAACGCCAAGTATTGGGTTGTATTGGAAACACACTCAAACATTCGATCATTTCTCATCCGTGTTGAATTTTACATAAAGATAGCCGCGCCCAATTCTTCAGTGCAGTATTTCCAATTATTGTACCAGTATTCAACAGTGAGTTGAGTAATCCTTACCAGTGTGTCGCCACAAGATGGGCTTTCCCCACAGGTCCAACCATGGCTCCTCCCCTGTACAGACTTCCAACAGTGCCATTCTCATCCAGTGCCTAGCCCTCCCCAGTTGCTGTTCCCTTACCGAGCCCTGCAGTACCCATGCCTTTCAAGACTTGCCTCCGAGCAATCTGCACTACTGATTTTGAGCATCATTCCACTCTATGGCAACTGAACTGATGCCAATTTGCTTTTCTGCCTCTCTTCTCTCCATTATCATACTAAAATGTACTATTTTCAAAGGTTCAACTTCTTTTTCTTCATTGTACGCCTCCTCCCCCACCTCCACCCCCACCTCTAAGCATTCCCAACTAAATACAATAATTTAAATAAGGCTTTGTGGATGCAGGCACTGCAGATTCAGAAGGTTTCAAGTGTGTTAAAGAACAAAGAGCTGGGGAGTATTGGTTACAGAAATTCCTAATTCACCTTTCTGTCCAAGACTGAGACCCTGATGGGAAAAAAAAAAAAAAAAAAGTCAATAAACTATCCTTAGAGCATGCTCATTAATGAGTTTGTGGGGGTAGGAAAGGGCAATTGCATCTCTCTAATATTTGACTCAGTTAGAGCCAGATCTTTCTCTGAATGGGATCAAAATCAGAATAAGCATTTTGGTCCAAATGCTTACCCGATAGAGGACCCATAAGGGATGCATAAGGCATTTGACTTTCCTATTTACATATTTAGTGTTATCAAAGAATTCATTTGCCTGCTTAATGCTACCTTGTTTAAAGGTTTGGATTAAATCTGGCATATTCTGGGGAAGGAAAAAATGATTTCATTTACTTTTATACTGTGCTAGTTCTTTTTAATTTAAGTACGTACTAAAGGACATCACATTCATTTTCAAACAATGATGAATGATTGTGGAGATGCCAGCGCCCACCGACAACATCAAGTGGAGATCATTATTCTGCTCTTGTTTTTGGTAGGAATGGGGAAATGTATATACTTATTTTTAAATGTACGAGTAAGGGGAGGAAAACTCGAGCATTTCCCTTGACATTCAACAGGTGGAATTCCCATTACGTCCCATCCAGAAAATGATCGAGTCAAGTTCATAACTTCTGCTCTTTAGTCACCTTATAAATGATAGTATTTGGACATCTTACAGAACTATGGATCTATTGTACCTTGGTATCAATTCAGAGGCATTGATTCTGGGGACCTACCTAATCAGTTAATTGGTAAACAAATATTTATTATCTCCGTGGAGGATCCTGGTGCTGCACACTGAAGGGGCTTCAAAGATGTAAACAAACAGTGAGCTTACTATCCAGGAATTTAAAATTGATCATGTAAGAAAGACAGGAACATTTTGTTAACAAAATAAGGCAGTATAATGATATTATTTCAACTGTAAACAATGAGATCCTGAGCTTGCATGTTAATTTGTAAACTCCCTGAGGGCAAGACCTTGCCTTAAATATTTATTAATTCCCAAAGGTATCTACGCCCAGTGGATGTTTGAGTGATGAAGCTTTGCAAAGTAGATTGGGTGGGAAGAAACCAGAAGCAGGGAGAGAACTTTCACAATAGATTAGATGTGAGAAGGTATGGGCCAAAATGAGGATGGTAGCACAGGACTAGAAAAATGATACCTCAAGGGAAAATCAGCAAGATTGAATGAAGGCAAAGAGACAAATCTAAACTGTATTCATTTTTCCTTCTAGCAAATAAATGGGAATTGGAGACAGTAGAGGAGAATGGAGGGTTTCCTTAGTAAGGACACAACACACAATAGGCACTATAGTGTTTTCTCAAATATCAGTAGCAAGATTGGACCAGAAGACCCTGAAGGTCCTTTCAATGCTGAGACTCTGTGCCATATGCGGATGTTCAAGCTTGTTGAGAAACAAGGCATTCTCAAATATGGAAGAAAGAGAAAAGGAAGAATTCTTATACTTTCACTAGCAGGCCCTTTCTGAGAAGGGTTAATACAGAGCCATAAGGCCCGCACCAGTGCATGAAAGGATGTGGAGGAGCCAGAGGAATAAAAATCTCAAACCAAATTTTTCAAAACATGCTTACAAATTTTTGCAAACTTCATAACTTTTCATTCTCCCCCAAATCCTGTTAAGTAGGGCAGGTATTATCTGCTCTATTTTTATGTAAGATACTGAAACAGAAAGATTAAATGACCTGCCCAAGTTCATAAAATAAATGAATGGTGTAACAGTGAGGAAGACCCTGGCGTCCTGATTGCTGCCAGCTAGCTCAGTGCTCTTGACACTGAACCACATTACTTTTCCTCTTTTTTCCTTGGCATAGAGCCTATAGGCCCAGAAGTTATGTGTGCACATAACCAAATAGGGAATGCACAAGCAACTGCAGCATTATCTCAGACAGTTATTAATACATCATCATTATTCCTGGAGCTGAGCATTTGGTTTCCATATTCACTCAGTCCTTGACCTGTCTATTGAGTTAATCTGCAACTGAGAGAATAGGGTCAATGAGTCTTTTAATGATGTGAACACCTGTTTGCTAGGAACTTAAGGAAGCTCATGTGGCACGGATGCTTAATGCCATCAGAATCATGCCCAAGTTTGTACTTCTGTTACTTTTTAAAATGAGAGTTCAAGAGTTCTGCTCTGTAAAATTATCCTACAGACCGGTATAAAAAAATAAAAAGTGTGCTAACACTTGTTTCATCTCCATTTAAAGAAATGTTTGTTACTTGAGCTAATTCCAAAGACAGCAATCTGGGAGCAGGAAAAAGAGAACAACAATCAGGAATTGTAGGAAACTTGAGAATTCTGTAGAGTGTATATAAACCGAGAAGGAGTATAAAGCCTATCCATTTAGGAGATATTATTTAAATTCATAATTACTGATTTAGATATCTAATGAATCCTTATTATAAGTTTTATCTGTATTTAGAAAATAACATGAGATTATTAAGCAGCAGTTTCTTTTTTTTTTTTAAAGCTTCGTTCTTCCTCAGTAAGAAATAACACTACACAGATCTAGGCACTGTTTTTCTTCTTAGACTAGTACTCTTGATGCTGCTTAAATAAGACTCTTGCCATAATGTTATAATACTAAATGAATGTATATTTAAATTCAGTAACACTAGCTAAATATTAAAACTGGTGTTTAAGACAGATGACCTACCGGGTGCAGCGGCTCACGCCTGTGATCCCAGCACTTTGGGAACATGAGGCTGGCAGATCATTTGAGCCCAGAAGTTTGAGAACAACCTGGGTAACATGTTGAAACTCCATCTCTACAAAAAATACAAAACTTAGCCAGGCATGGTGGTGCGCGCCCGTAGTCCCAGCTACTCGGAAGGCTGAGGTGGGAAGATTACTTGAGCCCAGGAGGTCAAGGCTGCAGTGAGCCATGATTGTACCACTGCACTCCAGCCTGGGCGACAGAATGAGACCCTGTCTCAAATTTTAAAAAATAATAAATAAAAGAGAAATGACCTAAACTAATTAATAAAATAATTAGCCAAGATAATATACTTTATTGTAAACAGGAAGCCCACAAACACTTTTTTCTGCTCTCTAATTATGTGGAATCAATTGCAGAGACAACCTTGAGACAGACTGGTGAGTGCACTAACAACTTTCTTGGAGATGGGAACGTTGGTAGGTATAAAAGGAAGAAGTTTCATCTCTGACTTAGGATTTAAACATATCTTAGATTGCTCTGTACTTTCCTTTTCCTGAATGTCATCTATTGTGAATATCGTATACTTTCTTTAATTTGCTTTTACTTTGAATGGAGAATTCAATTGAGAGACAATATAAAAAGTAAAAAAATTATATAAATTACAAATTAGGACAAGTTAAAGTTCTTGGAATAAAATTATTTTGCTTATGTTAAGCCTAGGTAGTATTTTGAACTTTTATTTTTGAAAAGCACCCTCTATAGGTTACCTCAGGTTGCTGTGGGTTCTTTTTATCTGACTTGAATATATTTTTATATATAGACTTAACATTATTTTATTATAGATTTTTTAAAATAATGTTTTCTATTCTGTTTTATAGCACCCTAAAAAGAAAGAATAAAACAACAACAGGAAAAAAAGGAAAATATTTAAATTGTGACAAAAACCCACTGGGTAGGTATTTCAAGGGGGCACACTCTGGATTTGGGATATTTTAATATTTGATCTCTTAAAAATGAATATTAGAAAAATATATAGTTAGTACACAGGCATTCCAAAATCGTTTTAAGGGAAACTAAATTTTGTAAAATTATATTCAAATATGTGTGCTTCCAGAAACTGTTTTGCATGCACTCCTTTGATTGGTGGTTCGTTTTCATCCCTTTGGGTCTATTGTATAAATATCATCCAATTAACTTCATCACTGTTGAGTTCCCACAATAGGCCTAGTGTGAAAGTACCTAACAGAATATAGGAAAAGGTAGTATTCATTCAGTAAGCATTTGATCTTTTTATTTTAAGATACATTGTAGGTATTCCATATGTAGACATGTTGTGGAGGTAACAAGTAGGTTACTGTATAAACATTAGCACTTTAAATTTTACAGTATGTTTTCAAGTGTTGCTATTATAGAATTAAAACCTAAATCCAAAAACTAATAAGCTATTCAAGATTTCCTTCCTTCATGACAGCTGTTATATTGATATCAGTCAATTATCATCAACTTAAATGCCATTGTTCCATGAAGAAAAAAATTACTTGAGAGGGTGTTCCTATCAATGCAAGTATAATGGGGTAAATGCCTGAAGAAATGAAACCTTGTTCTCTCTTTCAAATTCTGGGGTCCAGTCTAATTCTGGCCCAGACCTCTACAAACAGAATCAAGAATCCAGTTTATGTAGCTTTCTCTTCTCAGTAATTCTTGTATCCATCAGGAGCAGACTTCAATCCCCAAGTCAATTTCATCCTATTTGCCTATTGTTTGGAACTGTCCAAACCGGAAGCTAAAGTTGTCACACATTTGAGTGGCATTCCTGTTCTAGGCTTCCTCTCCTAGAATAGGGTCAGAACTGAACCAAATTACAGGACCATCTGCTAGTCCATTTACCCATGGCACTTAGCCATTTTCCTGGCACGACAAAAGACCTCAGAAAAACAAGACCTATTTTTCCCCTTATGCAAAATTAGTTTTATTTCTTCTGCTGTACTACATCAATAATGAGCATAAATCAAGAGAAGTTGAATGAGAAGGCCTCATAATTCAGAGAAATTTGCTATGAAGTTGATTTCAGTTTCAGGTTTAACTATTTCCCTCCTACTTTTCCTTTTATTTTCAGGTTCTCTTGGTTACAAACTCCTTCCCTTCTGGTGCTGCAAAAATGAGTGGGAAATCCCTGCTCTTAAAGGTCATTCTCTTGGGTGATGGTGGAGTTGGGAAAAGTTCGCTTATGAACCGTTACGTAACCAACAAATTTGACTCCCAGGCTTTTCACACCATAGGGGTAGAGTTCTTAAATCGAGATCTGGAGGTAGATGGACGCTTTGTAACCCTCCAGATCTGGGACACTGCAGGGCAGGAACGTTTCAAAAGCCTTAGGACACCCTTCTACAGGGGAGCAGACTGCTGCCTCTTGACCTTCAGCGTGGATGATCGGCAGAGCTTCGAGAATCTTGGTAACTGGCAAAAAGAATTTATTTACTATGCAGATGTGAAGGACCCTGAACATTTCCCCTTTGTAGTTCTGGGTAACAAGGTAGACAAAGAGGATAGGCAAGTGACTACTGAGGAGGCGCAAGCCTGGTGCATGGAGAATGGGGATTACCCTTATTTAGAAACTAGTGCCAAAGATGATACTAATGTGACAGTGGCCTTTGAAGAAGCTGTCAGGCAGGTGTTGGCTGTAGAGGAACAGCTGGAGCATTGCATGTTGGGTCACACCATTGACTTGAACAGTGGCTCCAAAGCAGGGTCTTCGTGCTGTTAAAGATAGGGAGCCTTTTAAAAATGTGCCCCAAATTGGTCAGTCAGTAGTGTAAGAATAACTGTGCCCCTCTAAGAGTGCACACACACACACACACACACAAGAGGGTAAGAGACAAGGTTCTGATTGTGAAACAGAGCCTTTCAAATTGAAGTGTAGATCTATTAAAAAAAAAAAAAAAGAAAGAAAGAAAAGAAAGAAAAAAAAAGCTCTATCAAGCCAAGTGTATTTTGTGTAATTTCTGCTATTTCCCCTTCATGTGTGTCTCAGGACATATCAGAAAGTTTTAGTCCTGAGACAGTTAAATATTTTTTAAATCACAGTTTAGACCTAGAACCCAGCTGCATGAAGGAGTTAAAGAGCTACAACTATTTCTTAAAGTGTTCCATTAATCAACTAACAAATGTCACTATCAGACTCTTGCCAAGCAGTTTCTGACATTTCTGCCAAAGGGGAAAAAATCAGACTTTCAGCTGTATTACAATAAAAATAATAATGCAAATAAGGATTCCTAGGCTTGAACTATAAAGAAGTTGTAATGATTAGGAGTGCAAAAGTATAATAATATACACTGACTTGTTTAAATCCTTATGTATGGTTTGCTCCCATCTGAGCTTTTCAAAAAATACTATCTCAGTAAGAGATACTCTAATGACCCTGGCAATTGATTATACTTCTTGTGTTTGAAGTCATAGGATACTAATGAATGGATTATGCTTAAATATGCCAACCACCTTTGCAAATAAATGGTTGGTCTGCTTTTCCTTCCTAAGTCTACTTTTGCTGCATAGAGATGTTGCTTCTCTGACAACCTCTTACCAATTTAGCAATGCTGCTTAGTATATGAAATTGGATGCAGTGCTCTCTGCTCATAATTTAGATGGTCCTTCGATCCAACATGCTGGGCTCATGGAGAAGACTTCAGAAAAGATTGGGGGATAATGAACTTTTCTCACAGGGCTCCTTAACTCAAATATTTATTATAGAAGAAGGAACTGGTTTCTTATATGTTGCACTGTATGTTAAACTAGCCTAATTAGGACATTGAAAGTGACAGAAGAGCAGATTTTAACCCAGTGTTAGAATGAATTTCCCATAATCAGAGATGTCCAACAGTGGAATGGACTGCCTTAATAATGAGCTCCCTGCCTCTGAAAATATTCACTGGATGACCATCTGTTAGAATACCATAAAAAGATTTTCTGTACTGGCTACATGTTCCGTATAAAGTCCTTTCTGGCTCTAAGTTCTATGAATCTATAAATTACATCAGTGCCATGCTGTGGTTAGATTTATCTGATGATAACAGCTAAGACTATGGAGAGGGACTTTTAAAATTCTCAAACCATTCTATGATCAATCTTTAACAGCAACTACATAGCTCTTCCTTTTGCTTTTGCACTGTGGCAGGAAAAATTCTTGAGCTCTGAGTAATCTTTATGTGCACTGATAAAAAACATCTTAAAGCTCCCATGTTAAATATAAAAATGGTTTGACAATTTTTGATTACCATGACTGCCAGTTATATACTGTATTATGAATATGCAGTGTGGTTCTTGGTTGATCTGTTTATCCTGCATAGATTTTAATCTGTACTTTAAAACATCTATGATAAAAAATAGTGACAGACAGAAATTACCCCAAAAAGAGACCTAGGCCAGGAAGGGGGTGGGAGCTTTCATAGGAATACAGCCTAGAACTCTCCATTGTAGCCACATATGGAATCAGCCTTACTTACATGTAGGACTTTTGTGCTTTAAGAGCTCTGGGACATATTGGCAAAATAGAAAAAAGAGGACAGTATTTCAACCCAGTCATACTCAATATTTCCAATTAAGATATAATCCTTACCCCATTGTTCAATTAACTTTGATGCCAGAAGTCAAAGCCAGAACTGGGGCCCCACAGCTCTTAAGTACTGGTCCCTATCCTGCCTATGCCTATAGCCAGCCACACTGGTTTCCAAGTTCTATGATCATTTTGCTACAATCATGTTAGGGTGAAAATCTGTACGTCAGAACTGTTAAATGCTAATTATTTTCAAGTGCATGAGACCTGGGGCCTTCTCTTTCTACTTGCACTCTGCTTATACTAGTTTCTATTTGTAGATCTCAGGTCTTCATCATAAAGACCTCCGTCAACTCACAAAAGTACTTGTCTCTGTTAGAGTGGCATGTGGTCATTTGAGTTAAAAAAAAAAAATTACATGGGTCCATCTAAGACAAGTGTTAATCTTATTGGTCTATCAACTGGAGCCCCTTTCCTCTTAGCCATACCATTGTTTTCTGCCAAATTACCACTCAATATCTTAATGAAAGCATTCAACATTAAGTGACATAAACAGTGGCATTTGGGTAAGCAACACTCAGTGGGGTGCTGACATATAGTTTGGGTAAGATTAAAAAACACCAAAGGCTGAAATCTGTGAGTACCAAGAACTGTGCATATAGGTTTAGAAATTGACTGTGTACCCTAGAATGTGCAGTGTAATATTTTCAATAGGTGTTTTTTTAAGAACACTAGATTTTTGGAATAATATATTTCTAATTAGGACTATACTTTTTTTCAATGGTCTGTTAAAACATCATACAGAATATTTATTTAGTTTATTGTCATGTATTGGCTAACTTTCAGGGGCCTCAGATTCCGTGTGTCTCCAGTGGATTGATGAATATCAGGTTAATTTGTGCCTGCCCCAGCCATCTCTACTTTATTCTGAGGTATTCCACAATCCTCTTGTTGCAGGTGCTGCTAAAAAAGAATCTCAAAATTGTGTACCAATATTTTCTTTCGACTGTAAAAAATCATCTGTGTTAAAGTGAATAAAAAGTGCATTTTGAATAACCAACACACAATGTTTGTGCTTCTTCCCTCCCTTTGTCTTTTTGAGCAATGGGTGGGTGTGGTGGACAGTACTTATTAATCAAGTCACTCTTTCAGGCTGCACTGGATGTGGCCTCTGGATCATGTTTCATGTGGTACTCCAAGCAGCCACTACCTAGTGATCAGATACTGCTATACTGATTGTGAAGCAAACTCTAAAGATTGGGGCAGGGAGGTCCTTTTTATTTTATACCACTTTCTTTCTATTTATTTAGTTATTAGAGACAAGGTCTCTCCATTGCTCAGGCTGGAGTGTAGTGACACAATCATGGCTCATAGCATCCTCACACTCATGGGCTCAACCACTTTCTAATGCATGATATATATTGGGACTGGAAATTGAATCTTAACTTTCCACTTTTTTTCTTTATTATAATTTAAAACCATTACTTAATGGATACAATGTACACTATTCTGGTGATGGGTACACTAAAAGCCCAGATTTCAATCTGCAATATATCCATGTAACAAAACTGCACTTGTGCCCCCTAAATTTATACAAATAAAAGGAAAAAAATTGTAATAAACAATGTTACATAAAAAAAAATAAATGTTAAACCGTCGCAAAATATAAACAGAGTAGACATATTCCCTTTATTTTCCTGACTGGTGAATTGTCCAGACCTTAGGAAAACATGAAAATATAGGTGAAACAAATAAGAAAAGCAAAGAATAATTTTGTTAAATATTCTGTTCTCTTGCCTCTCACATATTGGATTTTAAAGATATAATAGCACCCAATGACTTGAATATACATAATGGCAGTTTTTAAATTGGACACAAGTCTTTCCACAGCGTATATAGTTTCATTACATTGGTTCCATCTGCCACAGATTTCACTCTCTTCTCTGTCTACTTTTGCCTGTTGCAACTTTGGGCAGTCGAAATTGGGGGTGGGGAATTTGTTGGGAAACAGATTTTTTTTTCCACATGTACCATTTCCATCTCTGAGGATTATAATTTAACACATTATCAGACCATGCTTCAAATGCAGCACCCCAAATCATTTTGACTAGTCTATAATGATGCAACTTTTAGAATATAGAAAGTCATAGATTTATAAGCCACTTAATAAGGATTCGCTCATTCGTAACTGACTTTTTTTTTTTTTTTTTTTTTTGAGATGGGGTCTCTCTCTGTCACCCAGGCTGGAGTGCAGTGGCCTGATCTCAGCTCACTGCAACCTCGGCCTCCCGGGCTCAAGCAAGTCTCATGCTTCAGTCTCCCTAATAGCTGGGATTACAGGCGCCCACCACCACACCTGGCTAATTTTTGTGTTTGTTGTAGAGACAGGGTTTCACCATGTTGGCCAGGCTGGTCTCAAACTCCTGGCCTCAAGTGATCCACCCACCTGGCCCTCCAAAGTACTGGGATGACAGGTGTGAGCCAATGCGCCGGGGCCAATAACTGATATTTTAAAAACAGAATACTAACTTCCTGTCCTTGCTGTTTTTCTGCCTGATTCATAACCCAGTGGGAAATCTCCTCATGATGTCTTAAGAAACAGTATGGTCTCATTTTTTGGAAATGATTTGGCGATAGTCCTTCCAGAAAGAGGAAGGTGTGGAATACATAATTTGTCTTCCATCTTGTAACTGTATTTTTAAAACACACTGGAAAATTGAGGTATCGATTCGAGTAATTTCAAGCTGGGAGGTGGGATGGACATCTCTGCTTTCATTTGAGTGACCCAAAGTAGATTTTGCAGCAATTTTTTTCCTCAGTGATCTAGATAATCATTTCACTTTTTTTCTGTCCTTGCTGTAGAAATGTAAAATTTACTATAGTGCAGTGTTTTTCTTACACTTGATTTTAGGGCAGATAAACTGTAATATACTGTCTTAGTCCATTTGGCCTGTCTTAACAAAATACCATAAGCTTGGTAGGCAATAAACTACAGAAATTTATTTCTCAGCTCTGGAGGCTAGGAAGTCCAAAATCAAGGTATCCTCAGATTCAGAATCTGGTGAGGTCCTGATTTCTGGTTCCCAGATGGCACCTTCTAGCTGTGTGGAAGGGGGAAGGGGTTTCTCTTGGGCCTCTTTTATAAGGACACTAATCCCATTCATGAGGGATTCACCCTTGTGACCTAATCACCTTCCAAAGGCCCCATCTCCTTATAATACCATAACATTGGGGGTTAGGATTTCAACCTATGAATTTTGCGGGGGGACACAAACATTCAGACCATAGCATACACCTTTTGATAAAACTATAATGTGCATGATTTGGGATATTCACTAATGTTTTATTTTTCCAAACTGGTCACTTTAATTTCCTCAAGTTTCCATCACCAAAAGAACTCTCATTCTTTACTACTTTCTCTTTAAGAGAAGGAAGGGATGACAAAAGCTACGCATGTTTACGAAATAAAAGAAAAATTATTAAATGCCCTCTTACTGATATGCTTGCAAAAACTGGTGAGCAAGGATCTCTTATTCCGCTAGTGATAGTAGTGGTAATAATGTGTGAAAGGGTTTTTTTTTTAAGGGGGCAAGAAGTTACTTAATATTTTCCCAGTGAAAACAAGTATCTTCACAGCTCAAGATGTGGTGTCGTCACCTGTAGCCATATAGGAACTGCTGCAGTGATCTTTGTGTCTTCATAAATCTCTTTGCCTTCTCCAAGGAAACACAGAGAATGATGATTCAGTTATATATAAAAGCCTTTTTAAACGGTGGGTTTTGTGTGTACAAGCATGTGTATTTTTAAGTAATCTGCCAGTTCCTTTCGTGCTCTATGAACTATGGGTAAATGTGTAATGGGTCTCACTATAGCGCTCCTGAATTTTAATCAGACCTGCCAAGCTGTGCCGCCTCTAGTTAATTGATTGATAAAAAGAATTGGGAAATGCTGCCTTAATGAAAGAAATAGCTCTTAGTTCAACGTTAGCTATATTGATTAGAGTAAAAATACAAATCATGCCTTCCTGTGGTGCATTCATGAGGAAGCAAGAAACAGGCTCATATCATCTCTTTTCTCTTACATTGTTCCTGGCTGCCTTAGAAACGACATATCCAAGGGTGTGTCCTGTAATTTGCTGTTTGCATAATATTGTATTGAAGGGTTTACCACAATTACCCATATTGCTAAACATTTAATAAAGCATTTATTGCTAGACATTTAGGTTGTTTTACAGCTGCCTTCTTTTCATAAAATAAAGCAGCAGTGAAGTTCCTTAATATCAATCTTAATTCTCACCTCTGTTTATTTCCTACTAGTAAAATTTCTAGGTCAAAGAGTATGAATTTTTTATTAATTTTAATGTATACTGGCAAATTAGCCTCTAGAAACTTATCCCAAATGACATCAACACCAGTAGAATAAGAGGAGGACTATCTTTCCAACACCCAAACTTATGGACTATTATCTTCCTTTTTAACTTCATATGTGCAGTCCAATGGGTGAAAACACGATCTCATGTTGTCATTTACATTTATTTAATTCTTTGAGAGTAATTGTTTATATATTTATTGGCCATTTTTATTTTTCCTTGAGTGAATGAACCTTATGGGGGTTGGGGAACATTCTTTTTTGTTTCTTATTGATTCCAAGGAAATCTTTTTTTATATTGTGAGTATTAACCTTTGATCTTATCCACATTGTTGGTTTTCTGCAATGCCCTCCCATAGCTCTTGCCTTTTAATTTTGTTTATGGTATTTTAAAAATATACTGCCATATTATAGAAAAGGTTATGTTCTGATAAATTAGAAAACTATGTGAAAGAGAAGTGCTTATTTGATTTGTTCTTTGTTTCTGATTATACTTGAGACTGCTTTTGTTTAAAAAGGTTATGAATCTAAGCTTCGGTCGCCATGATACAAGAATTGCTAAAAATAAAAAATAAAAAATATTCATTCATCCAGGTGCTTTAATTGCATGATGTCGAATGACTGGTTTGAATTGAGTTTATTGCTGTAATAAACAGGTTATTCTGAAGCCTTGTGTTAAATATAAATGCAGAGATAAAAACAATTCCACTTTCAACCACAAGGGGGCAATAAAGACCGGTTAGTGTTCTGCCGTAGACTAAACTCTATATATATAAAACTTTATATATATACTTTATAAATATAAACTTTATTTATGTATGTATTTATTTATAGAACATATTTATATATCTATAGTACATATTATATATTTATATATGTAGTATATATGTATTATATATTTTTATATATACTTTAAGTTCTGGGTTACATGTGCAGAACATGCAGTTTTGTAACATAGGTATACACGTGCCACGGTGATTTGCTGCACCCATCATCCCATCACCTACATTAGGTATTTCTCCTAATGTTATCCCTCCCCTAGCCCCCCACCCCCCACAGGCCCCAGTGTGTGATGTTCCCCTCCCTGTGTCCATGTGTTCTTATGGTTGAACTCCCACTTATGAGTGAGAACATGCAGTTTGGTTTTCTGATCTTATGATAGTTTGCTGAGAATGATAGTTTCCAGCTTCATTCGTGTCCTGCCAGAGGACACGAACTCATCCCTTTTTATGGCTGCATAGTATTCCGTGGTGTATATGTGCCATGTCTTCTTAATCCAGTCTATCATTGATGGACATTTGGGTTGGTTCCAAGTCTTTTCTATTGTGAATAGTGCCGCAATAAATATACTTGTACATGTGTCTTTATAGTGTAATGATTTATAATCCTTTGGGTATATGTCCAATAATAGAATTGCTGGGTCAAAAGGTATTTCTAGTTCTAGATCCTTGAGGAATCGCCACACTGTCTTCCACAATGGTTGAACTAATTTACACTCCCACCAACAGTGTAAAAGCATTCCTATTTTTCTACAACCTTTCCAGCATCTGTTGTTTCCCAACTTTTTAATGATCGCCATTCTAACTGGCTTGAGAAAGTATCTCATTGTGGTTTTGATTTGCATGTCTCTAATGACCAGTGATGATGAGCATTTTTTATATGTATGTTGGCTGAATAAATGTCTTCTTTTGAGAAGTGT